AAGCATGAGCTTGATTAATCTGAAATTCAATACCAATTACGGTAACATTAAAAACTCCACTGGATGTTTGGCAATACTGTAGAAAGCTGGCACAAGCAGCTGCAGAGTAAGAATGAAACTGCCTCGATAATATATTATGCGTGACACACTTGCTTTGCACTTACAGTGTTAGAGAAAAAAACAAAACAAGACTCTGTAATAAAGCTTGAATTACAGTTTATATGTCATCTGTTGAACATTTGGAACCACTTGCATATATTTCATGAAAGTAATCTCCCGTGTGCCACGGGGACACTTCGACAGATGGGTTCTCATTATCAATTAATGGAGAAAATAAGATTGCGAGGGTACAATGCAGCTTACGTAATAGCTATCGCCTTTTCATTTTATAAAAAGATCAAATTGTTGATCGATTCAAAGTGAGTCTGGAAGAAGGGGAGGGCAGGCGGGGGCTGCGTGTGACTTTTAATCTGCTACCTTGCACTGATTCCAGATTTTCTCTCTCCCTCTCTCTCACTGACAGGCCTTTCCCCCAGAGCGTTTCCCCAGAGCCTCGGCTCAAACTGCAGAACCGCTCGGTGTGGCAACTGTTGAACAAAATGGACTCTCGCAAGGAGGAGAGAAAAAAATCCCACAGGAAAGGGGGAGAGGGAGAAAATCGATGCAAGAAGGGGATTTTCAAATAGGTTGAACTGAAGGTCGGGGGGTTACTGAAAGAGGAGAGCTTAAAGGTGGGCGAGAAGATTGCCAAAGAAAGGAGTGAGGGATTGAGAAAGAGAAGACTGAGCTGTAATGAAAAGCATCTGAAATCACGTAAACTGATGCTTAATCTAATCCAAAGGCAGCCACGTTTTCTGCATGTTTCAGACAGCATCGTATCCAGCAGCAGAGAGACAGCCACAGTAAAGTGCTGCTGTGTGGATGTTTGCAGCCGAAGCTGTGAGAGAGACAGAGCTTGCTAATGAGCACACTGGGAGTGTCTGCCTTGTTGTTTTGTTGAGTGTTATTTCGAAACATTGCAACCAAGAGACTCGGGCGGGAAGGCAACTCTAGCTGTCAAACAATCTTTCGATCTGGGTTAATTGTTCGGTGAGAGTGCCGTATTATTATGATTAGCACTGTTTTTCTTTTCTTTTCCCCCCCATAATGTTTCCTCAAATGTAACTGTTACTTAACTGAGTTTGAGCATTTTTATTTGTTTACACGGATTTTTCTCAAGCTGATCAAATCAGTGTCCTTTGTTTACTCCTTTACATCCTTTATCTCGCTCTCTCTCTACCTCTCAAGCATTGATAACACACTTAAAGCACACTTCACAAAGTACATCAGTTTAGGGGTTGGTTAAAATATCATCCAGTCAAAGAAGCAACTCAATTTAGACATGCAGACATGGTCAAAGTCAAACTGAGCACCAGCCTGGGGAAGAAATTTGATTTATGTGGTTGTTGGTGCCAGACAGGCAGGACTGAGTATGTCAGAAACTGATTTTTCCACAGAGCCATCTCTAGTTTAAGAGAGAAAACATCCAGTGAGCAGCGGTTTTCTGGGTGAAAATGCCTTGTTGATGTCATGGAGAATGGCGAGACTGCCTCAAGCTGACTGGAAGGACAGAGTAATGCAAATAACCATTCATTACAATAGGCAGATGGGCTACAGCAGCAGAAGACAACACTAGATTCAACTCCTGTCAGCCGAGAACAGGAAACAGAGGCTACAATATACAGGGGCTCCCCTGTAAATTATAGCCTCAGTTGGACAACAGAAAATTGGAAAAACATTGTCTGGTGATGACACTGTAGTGTAACGGTGTGGGGGATATTTTCTTGGCACTCTTCTGGCCCCTTAGTACCAACATCATTTAAACACCACAGCCTGCCTGATTATTGTTGCTGACCATCTATCCCTTTATTATCACAGTGTAGCTGTTTTCTGATGGCTTCTTTCAGCAGAATAACACAACAGGTCATAAAGCTCAAATGATCTCAAACTAGTTTCTTGAACACGATAATGAGTTCACTGTGCTCAAATGGCCTCCACAGTCACCAGATTCAAATCCATTAGAGCACCTTTGGGATCTGTGTCATAATCTGCAGGATGTGCAGACTGGAAGCTGAGTTGTACTCAAATGCGGACACGAGCAGGCGGGGTTTAACAGAAAGCAAACTCTTTATTCAACTGATGGCAAAAAATGAACAAAAGCAGCAAACGTCCAAAAGGGGAAAACAGAAAACTATAAACTGCTAAGAAATACACCGGAGTTACTAGGACTGAGAAAACACTAAGCACAAGAAGAAACAGGAACTAAACAGATGCTGACAAAGGACAGAGAGACAGACAACACACACAGGAGGGTGATTAGGGGAAGTGGAGACAGCTGGGGAGAACGAGGCATTGATGAGCAGAATCATAACAGACGACATAAAGGAAGCAAAACTCAAGACGGCGCACATGAACAAGAGATCACCAAAATAAAACAGGAAGCACAAACACAGACAGAGACTAATACACATGAACTTGACATAGACAAAAGGTAAACAAACCGGGAGGCACGGCAGACTTCAGGGAGACACAAAAGGACGAAGCACAAAGAGATGACTAAGGTTACAGGACGGGAACTAATGAAAAGCGATTTACAACTAACCTAGAGACATAAAATAATACAACAGGGAACTGTTAACTGCTGTAGTAATTATTTATAAAACTCAAAACAGTGTATGAAGTGACACGGGACAGGTTTGTAGCAGATTTTACTACTGAGGGAACGAGAGGGCGATTAACGCTCTGGGTTTGTCAAACTTGTCACTGGCAGTGTTTCAGTCACAGCAGTATTGGATGAGAGCGAGAGAAAAAAGAAGCATTGCTGTTGAGAGGCCAGTGAGAAAACGGACACATCCCAGTAAGCACACATTGTGATGTGTTATTTTACAACAAGAAAAATTACATTTACCAGGAAAAACTCCACTTTTCATAACTAAAGTAAGTAAAACAACAAAAGTAAAAGATTTATAATTACTTTATTCATTCTTGACTTTGTTATTTTGCAGATAATACAACCTCTTACCTGTACATATGCACAGATATAATATGCTGTATTTAAAACGTCAATCACCTCAATGTTTAAGAAATGTACTGTAAATGAAGCAAGAGAGCACAGGCAGGCTAGTGGTGGTGTTAGACTGACTGACTATGCACTGAAAGTTGATTTGGATCACAAACATGTCCATGTAAACAAATACAGGGCACAAGGTGGAAAACTGTAACCTGAGGACTTAAGTTCAGATGAAAAGAACTGCGTTAAAGATGCGTCTTCTATTTTTCTTAGGAAGGATCTTGGTCAGGGGTGTGATCAGATAAATGTCAGTACAAATTAAAAATTAAAGAGCGGTTCATCGGCCTATCCCAGTGTTATTATCACAGCTGGGATAGGCTCGCAGTCCACCAACAGCCATGAATAGGATAAGTGGTAAAGACCAGAACCATAGTGATGCTCATTTGACTCACGAGCCATTACAATTCACAGGTTTTTGAACATATGTGATTTTGACCTTGAGCACAGTTTGCACAGATGAAGACCCATCAAGTAATTTCTGTATGCAAGTTTGATCAAATTCTGACCAACACGTAGGGGGAGCAGCGATTTTTGTGAATTATTGATGGGGGACGCCTCTCTGTGGCATAAGCTCATCGGTCCTTCTGCTGCATGTAATGAACTGACGACCTTTAAAAGTCTGCATTCTGCCACCTGAGCCGAAGTCAGTGTGGGTAGTTTACCATATCGCTTCATAACTGAAGCAAAACTATGTGAATGAATATAAGAAACACTTAAAAAGCACAGAAATGTCCTTAACAGTGGAATACTACATTTTCTGTTTTTATGTTTTATGTGTTGATTAATGATACAAAAACATCATTACTGGCTACACACATGGATTTGTAAGGGCATATCAGCTCTAATGTTATTTAGGTAGAAGAAAAAACATCAGGTAAACAATTTTTTTAAAAGAAAAAATGAAACCTGTCATTTAGTGTTCCCCTGTGATTGGTTGTGGGTTAGAAGTGCAAGCTACGCCTTGTGGTCATGGTACCCTTGGTTGTATTACTAATGCAACCCTGACTGGCTAATGTAAGCAAGGAAATAATGTTTTTAAGAAGAGCAGCATGCAGGAAACATAAATCCCACTCCAACTGCCAGTTTTCACATCATAACCTAATAACCAAATGGAAAACAAATCCAGACAGGGCAGGTCAAATGTATTCACAGTCAGAGGATGAGCTCTACAGATTGTTGTTGAAATGACATGATAAATGATAATGATCCGATCAGCTCTGATGATACAGATCTTGAATAGTTTAAAGCCCATATTGTTAAATTCACTCTGCACTGAGAAAGAACCTTACTTTGTCTAATTAGTAGCATATTTAAGACTTATTTTAAGACAAAACAGCAAGAACAATTTAAAATTGAGCCAAAGAAACCCCTTTCTGCTAACTGGAGCAGTTATCTTAGCTGTGTAGCTTTATTAGTGCGCAAATTGATATAAAATCTGTTGCACACAATCATTCCAGCCATCAAATTCAGCAGCTTATCTCTACAAATGAGACGCTGATTTTTCTCTTCTCCTGTCTGGGCTCCTTATGTTGGAAAATTTAGAGCTTGGTCAGTGAACCCCAAGCAACCCAAAATCCTTGCAACCTCCACTTGCAAGCTGGTTGAGGACTTTACATTTTCCTCTAGTGACTGGTGGTTGCCAGGGGATCTGACTGGATCTTAAATCTGCACTGTTCTCCTGGTAAGTTGGAGATAGATTAGCTGCATGAGCTAAGAGGAGCAGGGCTTAGCAAGAAGTCAAGGAACATATTCCTAGACACAGAGATTGTTCCACACTTGCTTTATTCCACAGATGCTCCGGAGGGTTGTGAATCACACTGACACACACGGTGAGGATATATTTACTGTGTGATGGCACAGTTTCAGGCGGTAGCCAAGAGAACACACTCACCAGGCCTGGGACTTTCTCCTGGGCACGCTCTGTCTTGTCCACTTGGAGTGAGGGGTCAGGTGGTAAATCAGTTGGCGACATATCTTGTTAGTAGACTTAAACGAGTCAGTCTCCTGCAACACACAAAAGGGGCGAATGAGGGACAGAAAAGCAAGCCACAAATCTATAAACAAACTGTTCCTCATGCATGAGCACACCTGAAACAGGGAACTAAGCAAACAATGTGATACTGGACAGCTTTTCCAGATGTTAGATATACTAAAAGTCAGTAATTAGCATATATTTTCATCCTTTATTACTGCTGAAAAAAAAAAAACTTGTGAAACTACCAAATTTTACATGTTTACAAAGTATTTCTTTGTCTTGCTTTAAACATTTTCCACATGACTCAGTAATTCAGCTTCTCTTTTGCGTTCCTGTTCCTTCCTGATTCTCCGGCACCTCTTTACATTCTTTTTCTTCGCTCTCCCTCCTCCGTCAAACACTGGAACGGGTTGCGCTGGGCAGGCTAAATCTAATTAATGGTACAACACGACAACTAGAAAGAGGCAATGCGGCGAGAGAGGAAAAAAGACAGGGCCAATTTACCTTAAGGCGATTAACCGTTCCCGCTGCCTCTTCTTTTCTTGGGTGACAAACAAACATGTCACGCGCTTCAAAACATTCAGTGCTTCTCTTTCAGCCACTTGGATGAATGAGCACGATGTTAAGCAGCGCATGCTGATTTACAGAGCAAAAGTGTTCTTAGAAAAATGCGTGCTCCAGAGTTACTGACAGAGTGCAGTACTGTAACTCTATAAGCAATGCTAAGCATTAATAACGGGTCTGCATTAAAACAAGACACCTGCATATGATGTATGTTTTAACCAATGATATGCCCTTGAATGCTCAGCCTAAATAAATCTAAGGTGGAAAATACTGGCCACAGAAGCACCTGCTGGGCCCTATATCCACCACATTGCCGCTATACACCCTTGTCACGTTTAACACAGTATCCTGCCACGGGTCGCCAGCCAGTCAGGAGAACATTGCTGCCAGCTTCTCACTTTTCTTCCCTACCTCCAGGGCTTTCCTTGCTGAAGTAAACAAAGATAAGATTAGAGTTTCTTCCAGGTGATTATCATCTGAACTCAGTAAGTAATAACTACACCACAAGGACGTTTTTTCCCCCCTGTGGCAGCCATTCTTTCATAACTGTATCCGTAATAGCTTCTGGGTTCATGTTTTACAGCCACTCTGAGTAGATTCTGTAATGTCTTCAGCCTCTTACCTTAGATTGAAATGTACTTTGAATTTCAACGTGTCTGATTTGTATGCTGTGCTGCAAGTAAACGAGCCGACTGCCAGTTTGGACAAAGAAAAAAAAAAGTGGCTTTGATTTTTGGGCAGAATTCAAATTTCGTGCTGGAAAATCTCTCTTTGCTCTTTCCTAGATTTCCCAGTTCCAAGAGGAAAGCATTACCTTCCCCAGTTTGATTTCTGGCTATTTATCAAAGCCCTCAAACTTCCCTCACTGTTAGTGCCAGGGTAATGAGCCCCCTAAAGCCAGGCAGCTAGAGGTTAAGAGCTCTGTTGACCTCTGGCTGCCTGGCACCTGACCGTGCTTTCCAGTATAACCCAACCAGAGCAGGTAATTTAATACACCTGGTGCATAGCTGCTTCCCACTTGCAACTGGGCTAACCGAGCGCAGAGTAACAATGAAGAGTCATACCCTGGTTCTGTTTGGCCCTGATATTCATCCCTAACCTCTCATGCTAATGAGTCAGCGCTTACAATATTTTCCATTCTTCCTGTCTTCTGCATTTGTGGCTGCACAAAGCAAACCGATGGTTCATTGTTATTGCAATAGCATGACAATGAATATGACACAAGCATCTAAGCGTGGCTAATGAAGGCGTGCGTGTAGCCTCTGTGTGAAATGTACTGCTTGTCCTTTTTACTGGTGTCAAGTCTGTAAACAAACAGCTGCTTTGAATGTTCACTATGAATAAAACTGTTTTATTCATACCCTTTTTGGACACTGCAGGTCCCGGGCAAGGCTGAGCAGCAACTCGTGGGAAATGGGGTCCACCAGGTTTAGAAACGCTGCATTTTTGTACAAAATGTCATTGAGTGACGTTCCCTGAAGTCCCAAATCCTAAAGGAGAGAAAAGAAAAAGGATGTGAGTGATTCAATTTACTCTTTCTAACCCATGGATTAGAATTTCAAAAACAGAATTTGATTCAACTGAACCACACTTTAAATATTAAACTGAGATTTCATAGCTAGTTAACTGAAAATAGACTTTCAGTATTGTCAGCTATGTTCATTATTCCCTTTTATCACGGCTCCTTAACACAAGGTCAGCTGATAAGTGTTTCCCATCATAGCTGTGTTTCTCCACCCAACGTAGCTGATTAGGGTGTGCTGGGCAGTATACAGAATATACAGTTGTAGTTAACATCCACTCATCATTGCCAAATGTCTTTGTAATTGTGAGCATTTAATGAGCTCTCTGAACCGTTCTTTTCCCACTGTAATATAATTATACAGCATACATCTTTGATGACTTTAAAAAACAAGAGAAAAAAAGAAGATAAAAAGAAGAAAAACAAGACCTAATATTTTCAAGTTGGTGATCATGATCGACTGCAATTTGTAGTTTCTCTTTGCGTTCAAAAAGTTTGTTTGACATGATTCAATTGATTTATCAATACTGAGTGGGAATAGGAACAATTATAAAAGAGGAGTAAAACTGAGGCTTTCAAACGAAAGAACTATACCAGCTGTTGGAGGTTGGTAAAATTTGTGGACTAAACTATAATGAACATTTTTCCTTTCAAATGGTCTGTATTTGGTTTTACTTACTTGGGAATCAAAACATTGCCAAACCTAAAGGACCTGTGGAAACCTAATTTTCTTCCAGTTTATTCCTCAATAAAAAGAAAAGACATTGACCTTGGCATGACGTACCACTTTCTCTCTGATAGGCCACATTAGTTTCATTAAAATGAATATCCTCCCTCATATTTTATAAACTTTGTAGATGCTTCCTCTGTAATTGCCCAGAAGAATATTCAGGATATACAAAAGGCCTTCTCTAAATGAATCTGTCATGGCAAAAAACCTAGACAGAGGCTTATACCTTTACAGTTACATACAGACATGGGTGGCCTTTCCATGCCTAAATTACTGTTCTACAACCAGACTTGCCATGCTCACATCTTTGGTCTTGGCTAATGCAAATCTTAAATTGGAATCATGTATTGCTTGTTGGAGTTCTCCACGCTTCCTATGGAGTCTGGTCACGTTATGTCAGTAATATAAGCCCAGTGGTAAAGCACCATCTTATTTTATATAACAGTATTAAAGACTGGCACTATATTACTAAATACCTTGGAAGGAATAATATGAAATCCTTGCTGTCCCTTATTGTCCAAAATGCTGACTTTCCTGCTGGCACTGGCTCATCTGCTTTCTCCTTATTGTGGGACGGGGAGATAATGTGTCCAAAGGAACAATTCTTTGGATATTTGAAAGTTAGGCACTTTTTATCTTCTAATCTCACCTCTACTTCTATTAACCTACCTACCTACAGGGTTTAGTTACCTACCTATAGCATCATAGAGCGGTTTGTCTTAGAGCCTTAATCTGGGAAGTCTTTTATTTCGCTATTCTACTCCCTTCTCTGTTCCTCTGATGAATATGAGCTGCCTAATATTGCTCATAAGTGGGAAAAGGATTCAGGCACAGAATATATAGAGGATGACTGGCAGGGAGCATTATAAAATCTGCCCTCATATGCAATAGACAGAGCGACTCAGTATAAGATTCTTCACAGATTGCATATCACCCCTGTTGTTTTGTACAAGATCAACTGCTCTCTCCCTTCTCTGTTCTCTTCTGATTGGGGAACATATTTTCATTGCTTCTGGGAGTAAATTAATTTCCAGCTTGTGGTCATTTATATCTATGGAACATAGTAGAATATTTAAAATGAAAATTTAAAATGATCCTGGTGTTTTCCTCTTAGGCCTATCCTTTAGAGAGTTGCATCTAGCAGTAGCTAGCAGTCATAGCTCAAGAATTGGGAGTTCGCTTTGTAATCGGAAGATTGCCGGTTTGAGCCCCGGCTTGGACAGTCTCGGTCGTTGTGTCCTTGGGCAAGACACTTCACCCGTTGCCTACTGGTGGTGGTCAGAGGGCCCGGTGGCGCCAGTGTCCGGCAGCCTCGCCTCTGTCAGTGCGCCCCAGGGTGGCTGTGGCTACAATGTAGCTTACCATCACCAGTGTGTGAATGGGTGGATGACTGAATGTGTAAAGGGCTTTGGGGTCCTTAGGTACTAGTAAAGCTCTATACAAATACAGGCCATTTACCATTTACACTACAGACTTCTGGAGAAGCTTCTTTTAATTGCCAAAAAGTGTATTTTACACAACTGGATCAAAGCTTCTTTGCCAAGTGTTACCATTTGGTACCAGGAAATCTAATACTCTCCACATGAAAGACTACAAAACAGAAATGACTCATTATTTTTTAGGGTCTGGTCACTCTTTCAAGACTTTCTACCTTCTGGCCTGAAAACCCCAAAAAGTCAAACACTTATCCAGTGTCACAAAATGTATTTCTGTCCACGGTTTCATTACTTCTTTGCCAACATCTTGTGTTAATGATGGAAGAATCTGACCACATTAGTTTCATTAAACTAACCACATTAGTTTCATTAAACTCCCTGAACCACTCTTGCACATTTTGAGCTCAGTGAATCTTGGACTATGACTCTGCCATCAGGGGAGAAAATATCACCTGATGGACAAACCTGGTCATTCAGTATGTTTAGGTAGTCAGCCAAACTGAGTTTTGGGCACATAATGTTGCTGAAGCTAAATCTTCAATCTAGACACTGGCAAGCAGATCGTTATTGGTTAGTGCCTCTGCTGATTGGGCTTTTTTCAATCCATCCTGCAGATGCTCATTTGGACTGAGCGCTAGACAGTTTGCAGGGTAGATCAGTGCCTCATTGTCATGTTGCTCAAGCTGTTCGTGAGCAGATTTTGTGGAGTGGTGCTGCGGGTGGGGAGCACCATTGTTATATTATAGCAACACAGTGGTGGAGAAAATGAAACTTCTGTTGCCTTGCAAATGTTAAAAAAGCTTGATCTACAGAGACATGCACACAAGCATAAAGCATCACAATCTTTTACTAATTGAAGTTGATCTACTCAGACATATTAAGAGATTACTGGCATTTTTATAGCATGAAAAGAATAGAAAAACATGTTCCTCTGGCCCATCCTCTTACAGTTTACAGTGATGGCAGATTTACATAAGGACACAACAAGAGATTATGGACCTTAAAAATTTGTTCAGCTTTGTAAACATACATATAACAATGTACAATTGTCCTCATTCAGGCTTTCAGTACAGCCCACTGGGATCCACAGTGCAACCTTTTTTTGTTTGCTGAGAAACCTGTCAGACTGCTAACTTTAACTGTTTCTGCCTGCACAAGTACATGCGAGAGTCTTCACTCCCCCCAGGCATCTGAGAAATGAAGATCTAGTAGTAATGCCACCACATCCGACAACATTGTGCGTAATGTAGCAATTTCTGCCAGAGTTTCATGTGGGTTTTTAATCAAAGCACGCACAGGTAAACTCCAGGGTTCAGTTAACATGTGAGAGGACTATAGCTATACTTGTGCAACCTGCAAGAACACAAGTTTATTTTGCCTGGTTCTCAGGCCAGGGTTATTTCATTAAACAAAGGTAAAGCTACAGACACCGAAAAAGAACTTTTGCAACATGGATAAAACTTGTAGCATGTTCAGTTACAACTAAGAGGATGGTTTTTGTTGCTGGTTTGAGATGTTTCCCTGAAACTGTAGGAAATGGTGTGAGGCTGTGAACTGCATCTCCTCTCAACTGTTTGATGCATCAGACGTCACATGTATAATAACCCCCCCCCCTCAAAAATGCTGTGAAGACAACAGATCCTCTGTCACAGGTGCACCACTAAAGGGCTGAATGCAGGGATGCTAAAATGAGCAATCAGTGTGATATTTGGAGCTGGACACTTACATTAACCAGTTGAAATGGGAAAAAATGTAAGACCTCTAATCCATTTGAGGATAATGCTTTTTGAATCAATCTAACGTCGCTTTTTTTTTATCTTCATAGTTCATAACCAGAAGACTGTGTGATGTGCAGAAGATTTTAATAAAACCATAAAACAGGTCACATCCCCAGTGGGGTGGCTGATGATATTTTTTGACCGGGCTTTATTTTCGTTTGCGGCGACAATGTAAATAGAGTATATTGAAGCTGCATCTTGAGGTACTGACGTGTCATTAACAGCCAGTGTTTGAGATGTAATGTTTTCAGACGCGCTGAATAACCCCAGCAGCACGCAGTGTCAGCCACCTTTTCAATGAAGACGCCGACACGTAAACACCCAACAAGCCATATTAAAAAAAGAAACAACAAACGGCGGAGAAGATATGAACGAAGCGGAGGAGACCAAATAATCCGAAGATTAAAGGCTGGCAGCAAAAGGAAAGGAAGTCAAAGGAAATCTGGTCTTTAAAGGCATAAAGCATCAACGTCTTTTCCTAGTTCAAGACAAATTAAAGAGTTTCCCTACTCAGATATATCAACAGACTACAGACCCTTTTTTTTAAATACGAAAAGAATATAAAATCGTGTTTCACTGGCCGATCTTCCTCTAACAGTTTACTGTGATGGCAGTTTTATGTAAGCATGCAACAAGAGGCCGTGGAGCTTAAAAATAAATACTGTCAGCTCTATATGAACTGAAAAGCTTTTCAAACTGCAGGCTGGAGGTTGAAACTGTGTAAGACATGCTCTATATGTGCTGACAGCCATAACACTGCGGGGCACAGTGGAAGCAAAGAGGAAAACTCCCATCAGCATTTTCTCCTCCTCCAGCTTTTGTGTTGATTTATTACAGCAGAGATCTGTGGGATTCCCTGACGCCGGGCTATCCTCCAGACCAGCTCTCCTTTCAATAAACCTCATTAATTGGAGACAGAAGGTGCCACATGCGTCTAAAAGTGGAGGCATAGAGGATTTTGGAGATTATGATCATGATGCGTGTTAACCATAGCGCAGCTGCGGCATCAGATATGATTTTTTTT